ACATGGTGCCTATATTCTCTTAGTGATGTCTATTAAAGGCTTGATTTGAATCTGTCCCCTATAGCTACTCACTCTTCATCAAAAGCAAAGAGGCTTATTTAAATGTGATAAAATATTGCTTTTTTTCTTGCTTTTATCCTCTCTTGGGAATACTGGTCTCAAACAGAAGTAGTGGCTGACGCTCTTCCCCACTCCCTGTGTAGACTGCCAGGCTACTGTGGTTGAGGTAGTTATCTGAAGTGTTCCCAATTGGACCTTGTGGGCTTTGCACAGGATTTAAATTTTATTATTATTATTACTATTAGTATTATTTTGGTTTTTGAGACAAGATGAGAGTTGGCTTAGCAGTTGATAGCACTGGCTGCTCTTCCAGAGGACCTGGGGCCAATTCCCAAAACTCATAGGGAGCCTCAGGATCATTCATAATTCCAGCTCCAGGGAATCCAATGGCCTTTTTTTTTTAACCTTTACAGCCACCAAGCATGCACATAGTATACTACATACATGCAGGCAAAGCACTTATAAACACAAAATAAAGTAAATTTAAAAAATTATCTTAAAAATATTTTATTTAGGGCTGGAGAGATGGCTCAGAGGTTAAGAGCATTGCCTGCTCTTCCAAAGGTCCTGAGTTCAATTCCCAGCAACCACATGGTGACTCCCAACCATCTGTAATGGAGTCTGGTGCCCTCTTTTGGCCTGCAGGTATATACACAGACAGAATATTGTATACATAATAAATAAATAAATATTTAAAAAATATTTTATTTATTTTATGTGTATGAATTTTTGTCTGCATGTATGCATGTGTACTGCATGTATGATTGGTGCCCACAGGAGCCAAAAGAGGGCTGCTGGATTCTCTGGAACTGGAGTACTGTGGGACAATAGTTTTGTACCCTGTAAAGATTTATCACTTGTATTGGTTTAATAAAATTCTGATTGGCCAGTAGTCAGGCAGAAAGTATAGGTGGGGTGACCAGAACAGGAGAATTCTGGGAAGAGGAAAGGCTCAATCTTCAGTCGTCACCCAGATGCAGAGGAAGCAAGATGAGAATGCCTCACTAATAAAAGGTACCAAGCCATGTGGCTAACATAGACAAAAATTATAGGTTAATATAAGTTGTAAGAATTATGGGTTAATGTAAGATGTAAGCATTAGTTAATAAGAAATCCTGAGCTAATAGGCCAAACAGTTTATAATTAATGTAGGCCTCTGTGTGTGTCTTTGGGACTGAATGGTTGTGGGACCGGGCAGGACAGAAATCTCTGTCAACACTGGAGTTACAGACAGTTACAACTCCAACATGTAGCTGCCACGTGGGTTCTGGGACCCAGACCTGTGTCCCCTGCAAGCGCAACAAATTTTCTTAACTCCAAGCTGTCTCTACAACCCCTGAAAAGATTGCTAAATATTTTTTATTTTTAGATACAGGGTTCACTAACTCCCAAGTACCTAGTGCAGTTAAGTGACTGATAAGAAATCCGAAGCAGCTACTCACTGCTGCCTTGGCTGACATCCCAGTTCAGATGTTAATTACCTCTGCACGTCCACCTGTCTTTACTTCCAGGTTAGTTATATGGTAACTAATAGCCGTGCTAAAATCATTTTTCATGGACTCTGTCAAATATCCCATCAAATACCAATCCATAAAATTATAAACACTCTATGTCAAAGACGTGTTGTCACGTGTGGTTCACACGGAAGGAACTGGCAACTTTCCTATGGCATAGAATTTGCTGGCATCTTCCATCTTGTCTTATAAGTGTTATAATCGGGAACCAGCCAATTTGTACACTCTTTGGTGAGTCACCTCCAAGCCTCTCCCGATTGCCCTGTCATGGACAGGCCTGCTGGCAAGCACTTAATCGATGTTTCTGGATGTATGACTTCCTTTCTCTGCCCATGCTGCCCCCTCAGGTTAAGAGCAAAGCTTGTGATGGACACGGCTGCCAATTCCGGTCACTGGGTTAAGTAGTGAGGGAGGATTGCTTTCCTCCGTCTGCAGCTGCACTTTGATTCAGCCATTGCCACCAGACCTTGCTTCGTGTGACTGGTTGCTGGATACCCATCTATCTCCAGCTCTCAAGATTGGTAAGTGGGTTAGATACACACCTGTGGCAGGGAAGAGGCGAGAGTGATCCGGGAGAGAAGATCTAGACTCCTACACCCTCCTCCACTTTTTAAACTGAAAATGATTGACTGTTTTGAGTCATTTTATATCCTCTTATTTTCTAGGGGCAAGCAATTTTCTTTCTCATTTTTCATCTGGTTTCCAAGTGCTGGAGAACGTTTGTGTATGACTGTGAGAAGTGTTCCAACTTCTCATCTCCACGGTGTCCCGTGTGTGATAACCAGGCTGATTGACTGAACAGTAGCTGCCTGTCCCCTACTTGGCCTTCTGACTTCTTCTCAGTCTCTTGCCAGCCTGGTCATCATACACCACCTAGAATATTCTTCAAAAAAATGGGATTACAAAGTGTTCTCCCTCCAGAATTCTTCTGGGACCTCACAGTCCCTAGAGTAACATCCAACCTTTTCACTTTTACTCTCAGATCATCTATGGCTGGATCACAACTGTCCCCTGGCTGACTTCCTTTTCTTCTCGGCACTACCCTTGCTGTGTTCTTAGCTTCTCCAGGTCTTTGAGTGAGCCAGTCTATCTTTCTGGATATTTGGATTATTATTGTCCAGATCTCTACTTAGTTTGCATTTGATTTTTTAAATCCATGCCTATTTTATTTATTTATTCATTTATTTTTGCTTTTCTTTTTAAATATCTATCTATCTATCTATCTATCTATCTATCTATCTATCTATCTATTTATTATGTATACAATATTCTGTCTGTGTGTATGCCTGCAGGCCAGAAGAGGGCACCAGACCCCATTACAGATGGTTGTGAGCCACCATGTGGTTGCTGGGAACTGAACTCAGGACCTTTGGAAGAGCAGGCAATGCTCTTAACCTCTGAGCTATCTCTCCAGCCCCCTATTGTCCAGATCTCTACAAGGCAAGGGGTTCTCCTCATAAGTACCACTGCCTTAGAAAGACTGTTCATGCCTACTAGAATATTGCCCTGATCTGGAGCTAAGCATGGTGGGTCTGGTTAGCACTTGGATGGGAGATGCTGTTTAGGATAATTCCAGCTAACGTTCCCCCACATTCCTTGCTCGTTACTATCCTAGTCCATGTGTTTATTTTCTTCAGAACATATTGCCAGTTGAGAAATTTATTAGCGTGCTGAATAGTTTTGATTTTTGGCTCAGTAAAACCTAGATAAAACTGGGAAGGGAGTCTAAATGAGGAGGTTGACTCATGGCCATGGATGGGAGGAATTTTCTTTCTTAAAACTTAATGTTTTCGAGAATTTCTGTATTTACATCATATTCACCCCACCTTTTCCCCTCTTCCAATTCTCCTTTGTCCTCCCACTCAAGTTTATGACCTCTCCTGTAATCATTATTGTTACACTGGATGAACTGAGGTGGGAAGGCCCATCCTGAATATGTGCAGTCCTATTTCTTGGGCTTGGCCCCGTGCGGAATGAACAGAAGAGGGAGCATGAGGTCATTAATTCGCTGGTCTGTTTTCGGCTGTGTTTGTAATGTGACCAATGCTTCCTGCTGTTTTGACTTTCATGCAATTGTAACCTGGAACCCTGAGCCAAGGAGACCCTTTCTCCTGGAACTCGCTGTCGTCAGGGTATCTTATCACAGCCACCGGAAATGAGACTCAGACACTGAGCTTGCCTTCTGTCAAGTGCCAGAATGAAATTCCTATAGGCGAAGGGTCTTTTCAGCGTTGCCCCCCAATGATTGTTTATGACTTTACTGGTCCTAGGTATACAGTGCTAAACACACAGAGCAGAAGGAAAGAGACTACGAACAATTACTAGTTTTGTAGTTACTGCATTTAGGACAGAACTCAAAAAGTCGTGATGCTGTGAAGCTATCTTTAATATGCACAGAAAGTGGGCCTTTTCTCCAGCCTCTACCACTCGATGCAATGTTTGCCAACACTCTTGATGTTTGAGATTGCTGTAGTCAGACAAGAGTCCTCGTTTCTTGTTTCCTCAGAGAATGCCGCCCCTCATCAGCCTCTCGGAAACTCTAGGGCCCACAGGTTCTGTCTATCAACAATTAGACTAAGGAAATTTAACATTTTTTATTTTTTTATTTTTTTAGACGGTGGTGAAGGAAAGTAAGACAAGAAAGAGATTAAGAAACAGAATGTTTTAAATCATGGTTAGCTCTTCAGTAAAGCCACCTGTGGCAATAGCACTGATTCCTCACAAACACCCTTGCCACCAAACAATGGCTAAAAACCTCAGAGTGATTGCACTTAGACTTTAGAATGTACATTGTATCAATCACGTGACTAGAAGTCAGTTTTCCCAGATGAGCTCGATTCCGGTAATTGGAGCAGTGCTTGTGGTGGTTATGAGATGTTCCCCTCCCCAAGCGTCAGACTTCTGAATACTTGATCCCTGCTTGGTAGCTGGTTGGGGAAGATTCGGATGTGTGGCCTTGCTGGAGGAAATGTGTGACTGTGGGTGGGTGTGGTAGTTTGAAAGAGAATGGAAGCCATGGGGTCATTTATTTGAATAGCCAGACCCCACTTAGTGGAACTGTTTGGGAAGGATTAGGGGGGCATGGCCCTGTTGGAGGAGGTGTGTCACTAGATGTGGGCCTTTAGGTTTCAGAAGCCCACATCATTCCCAGTTAGATTGTGCGTGGTCTCTTCCTCTCCCTCCAGCCCCATTCCCCACCCCCACGCCTCAGCTTATGGGTAAGGACGTAAGCTCTTAGCTAGTGCTCCAGTCCCACATCTGCTCACCCTCTGCCACGTTCCTGGTTCGGATGGCCATGGACTCATTTTCTGAAACTGTAAACCCAAATGAACTCTTTCTTCTACATGTTGCCTTGGTCACAGTGTCTCACAGTAACAGGAAAGTAACTAAGACAGTGGGTTCTGAGGTTTCCAAGGACTCCGGCCATCTCCAGTTAGCGCTCTCAGCTTCCTGCTGGATGAGATGAGAGCTCTCAATGCTGCTCCATCTGCCTGCCACCTGCTGTGTTCACTCCGCCATCATGGACTCTAATCCCCTGGAAGGTCAGGGCATTTTAACACAGAGAAAGAAAAGTAGCTCTAACAGCGTTCACTGTTTCTAACAGACAGTCAAACGGTGTAGTCCATGTTTAAGAAATTCCTTTATCTGGCCAGCGTGAATTTTATTTAGTTCACTGATTTTGAAATTCCAGAACACATCTGATTTCCTGGCAAGTGTCATTTCGAGATCCTGCCCACAATTTTCAAGCGTGTCTTTATTTTATATCAGCAAGAAATTTACCAACTAGGAGCGCCTGACTTAGTTCAGCTGAAGGTGAGTCTCTAATCTTAAGAAGTATATTGAAGTGGTATAGACTTTTTCTTATGAATCTGTATTTTTGTCTACTCACACAGAAGCAATACGCAATGCTTTATAATGTATCCACAAAGGGTCGCTTTCAGGGATCCTTTGGCTACATTAATGTTTGCAAGACTGAGTGGATGTATTCTCTCCTATTTTAAGAATTTTTTTTCAAACTAATCAGGTAGTATGACTACAGTTACACAGTTTTTATGGAAATTAAAATCTGTGCTGAGGGAGTGGGGAGTTCCTGGTCCAGAGTGAACAGTGTAGCGTCAACATTCAGGCTTCTTGCATTCTGCTCTTACAGATCCTTTCTCCTATAAAGAAAAATCCATCCCACCTTCAACCACCCCAAAGAAAACTCCAGGTGAACTATAGACAGACACAAAAACCTGTGCACAAACTTACCCTGAGTGCTGCCATTATTCAAAATATTAATAAAGTACAGTAAAAACTATTTTCTTGTAGCTGTCATGCTTTGGTCCTATGAGCTAAGTAGCTGAAATTATTTGCAGATATGATGCTTTCTACTGTTGTGACGTCACAGGTGAGGAAAGATTCATTTGTTCACAAACGCTTTCTCAATACCAGCTCCTTACTGCAGAGAACCCACTGATTAAAGAGTACATAACACACTTACAGAGGCGGCCTGCCTTTGCACTCACATGATTGTGTCGCACCATTGTGTGCCTTTATTTTGGGTCTACTATTGAATTAGCCACTGCTGACCATGCTTTCTCCAATGCTTTTATCTCTCGCCTTATTCTCAGACTTTATCTTATCTCATTCTATTTTATTTTGTCATGTTTGGTTGTCATCTCTTAGACACTTGCTCTTTTCTCATGAGAGACAGAAAGAGAGTGGATCCAGAGGGGAGGAGAGGTGGGGGAGGAACTGAGAGGAGAGTGGGAGGGGAAATTGTAACCAGGATATAGTGTATAAGAAAGGAATCTATTTTCAATTAAAAATATACTATGTAATGTGTTCCACACGGATTCTGGGTGTTTTATACATGTATGTCCGGGAGAAAATACATTAGAAACATAAAGACGTCCTTCAAAAACTCGAACACAAGCAATTGAATCGGTTGGTCATGGCCCCTTCTTTTCTGATGTCTCCCTGCAACAGCCATGCCTCTTTGAGGAATTCTCCCAGCGTTTCCCATTCTAGCCCATTTCCTTTAAGTCTCAGGAGTCACTTCCTTAGGCATACATTGCCTCCCACCACTTTGTAAAGGATTCATTGAATGCAGTCTAAGTTTCAGAGTGTGGCAACGAAAGGCCTTCATGACCCGGTTGCCACGATGCTCTCCCGCTTTCTTCAAGCATTTGTTTCAGCCTTTCGTAAACTACTGAACTTCTTGTCATCTCCCACATCTGCCTTGCCCTTCCCTGTCCTGGGACCCTCAACTACTCGATACAACTGCTATTTGTGTGGTGTCTTCCTTCTTCTGGGGAAGTAATCCCCCACAGATCTAAACGCACTGCGGATTACTTGTATCAGTGTGTTCATCTGTGTATGTGGACAGGAATAACTGCCCAAATAACAGACCACACACAAGCTATGTAACATGACTTTGGTGTTGGCATGCTGAGCAGAAATGCTTGACTTGGGAATTAGATAAACCCGAGTCTAACCCTGAGTATTTGTGAGCCTGTGACCTAGGCCAGATCACAAGTCTCTCTGAAGCTGAGCCTTGTGTTTGGAGAGACAATGCTGTATGTACCACCCTCTGTGGTTTAAGTAGACATTACTGTGTCATTGAACTAGACCTTCAATGATGTACCTGACTGTGCTACAACTTTAGTAAGGTCAATAATTCATACCAACAACCAAAGCGCAGTGACTTTGTTCGAGCACGTCTGTGTATTTAAGTACTTGGACTAAAGAATATTAAAACTTATATTAAAAGGTTGCCATGATTTCCTCCAGCGTAAATGTTAAAGTGGAATACATTCTGCAGTGACTAATCAGACAGCTCAGCTTCCAAGCAGAGGAGATTACCATAGCATACCATCCTTTGCTCCTTCTAATTATGGATTACACATCATATGGCTTTAGGGACTTCCTTGGAAATTTTTTTGTATAATAAAGTTAATAACACCAGTGATTAGGAATTTTCCACAATTAGAGCCACATTTCTGTATTCAGCTATTTTATTTTATAACACTGTCAACAGTGTTGCTAGGAAAAAAGGGAAAAACGTATTATGAAATGCACACGCTATTTTCTTTATGGTTTGAATATGACATGTCCTTTACCCAGGTTTGTATTCTTATGGTTTGGTCCTTGGGTGTCACTACTATTTGGGGAGGCAGTGGAAATGTGGGGAGTCAGGACTGCAGGAAGCATGTCACAGGACTAAAATCTACACTGGGTGCCCTCTCTTCTTTCTGCCTGCTGTTTGAAAGAATGCCTTGAAACAACTCTGACACCCAGTCCCATGCCACAGTGTTCTGCCCAAGCCCAGGGAACCAAGCACCTGCGGCGGAACCACCTGAATTTGCGAGCCAATTAAATCACGCCTCCTCCCAAGTCTTCCAGGTATTTTAGTCCCAGCAGCACAAAAATACCTGCCTCAGAAACCAGGGTAAGGGATTGAAAATAAAATTTATATGCAAAGTAGGTAGCTGTAACCAAAGCAAATGAAACTAGTTTGGTCAACTGTGGTGGTATGGATGAGAACGGTCCCCATAAGCTCATATGTTTGAATGCTTGATCCCCACTTAGCGGAACTGTTTGGGATGAAGTCGTAGACGTGGCCTTGCTGGAGGGTGTTCTTGGAGGTTTCAAAAGTCCATACCTTTTCTAGATCACTCTCTCTCTGCCTTGCACTTGTGGGCCATGGTATATGATCTCAGCTACTGCTCCAGCATCAGCCACACCTGCCTGCCTGCTGCTGCGCTCCCTGCCATGTCGGCTACAGACTCTAAAGCCGCGGAGCTGTGAGACCCAATTCAGTTTTTGTGCCTGAGCATCGTATCTCTTCATGGCAGCAGAGAGGTAAGTAAGACAGCAACAAAATAGGAAAACATGGAGGAACGACATCTAAAATGATGTAGGACTGTGAGTCAAAAAGATTTGAGTTTGATTTAAGCACATTTTTATTTCCCAGTAGTGGTGCTTCTCTCTAAACGAATAAACACAAACCACCGTGAACGCTTCGAAGATCTGGATTCTCTTGGACAATCTTGTGAGATGACAGTTAACATGCACACTCACTGGTGCCCACTGGTCACCGCTAGGACAGAGTTAAAACTCTGATGCTATAAACCGAGAAGTCTTGAGTTCATCTTTCACCCAGGCTTTCACTACAACTGGATTTCAAAGGACAATGGCTTTGTGGTTTTAGCTCCTACTGTCAAACGTTCTCTGATTTTATGATACACGAGTTTTTTTTTTTCACAGTTGTTCAGAACAGAGCTGAGTAGCTATAATAAAGCGAACATTCTGTAACCTGTCTCAGAGGCAGTGACAAACCATGCTGGCACAAGACATGGAATAACAGTTGCTCAAAGATCACTTCCACTATGTATTCCCTGATCTCATGCCTGTCTTGGCTCTAGGTCCTAAGCTGCCATGAAGCCTTCTTTTATACCTCAGAGCTTTCACCATGCCTACAAGCCATCTAAAATACCATTTATTTTTACTTAATACCACCATTCTTCATTTTTTCCTTCCCTCCATAATTCACGTTCTTGCTAGAGTCCAGTTTTCTTCATGAATACCATACCGTTCATCCATCCTTTCTCACCTCTCCAGGCGTTTATTGGGACTGCGTTAAAACGAAATTGTTGAGCGGATGAAATGATACTGCTCTGGCTGGCCTTGGTGTTTCTGTTTGCACTTTAGTAAACCAAGTTTGGATCTATTTCGATTTGTCTATCATTGATTATGAAGTCTTTAAGGGAACCTGAGACTGTCTTTTACATTTTGGTGTGTGAAGCACTTCCTGCTTGCGGGATAGTGAGAATAATTTTGGCCCTGCCACATATGTTGGCACAGGAACTTGAAAGCAGGTGCCTAAGAGCAACTCAAACGAATCGTATGCATCTTCCCCATTAACGTGGATTTGCTGGACAAACGCTCCTGCATTGCTTCTGGCCAGGGCTGGGGTGGGTTCAGCTGTCCAGAATGTTGCTGAAACACACAGAAAATAAGATCCATCTCTTCTCCAAGGACTTAGACTGTGCTGTCAGCTTACAGGGTCCAGGTAAGACAGTCAGAGGAGCAAAAACAAAAATCTAAATTTAACTGCGCTAACTGGCCATTTCTCTGGGTCTCCTCCCTCGCAGGGCCTTATACAAAGAAGATGGTTGACAGAGGCTAGGAGAAGCTGACGGGAAGCGCATCTGATAGTGTCGTCATTTTAGGTTTGAGATGTGTGAAAAAGTAGAAAGATTTATAAACCACGAGGCCGTTTGCAATTTCCAACCGATTAGCGACAAGTGAGAAAGTAAAAATGGCCAATCTTCTGGACTCTTCAAAATGCACCAGGCATGTCCAGACCACCCTGGGATAATACATTAAAGCATCAGCAACAACGAAGTCCCAACAAATAAAACAGCAGCAAGGATGAGAAGAGGGTGTGAAGGAAAGACAGGGACCAGGAGTTGTGAGGGATGCGGGGACGGAGACTCGAACTCAGTCCCTGATGTCCTGATGTCCCCAGAACTTGATCCACTGTTTTTATTAACATATTGGAAATACGCAACCTCAGTGAAGATGCCCAGGAAACCATTATAGGACTGCTTATTTGATCTCTCTCAGTAGATCAAGATACATACACTTTTATTAAGGTCTGTAAGTTTGTATTCATTTTTATTCCATAACATTTTAATTTCAACTCTATGAAGTCATATTTATCTGTTTAAATGGACATGGCTAAGGAAAATTGTAGGATAATAGCTTCCATATGTTTGAGAAAGATATTGGAACCAATTTATTCAATAACTGAAAACGTCAGCTCCAGCACCTATGAATCCAGATAACTACAAAATAGGTCTCTCTTTATGTATATGTGTGTGTGTTGTTGTTGTTTTGTTGTTGTTGCTGCCATTGTAAGGATGCCTCACACAACTCTTCTGTGGGAGTTTCTATTCACAAGGAGGAAGTACTCAGGAGAAGAGGTGAGCAGGATTTGGTATCAAGATAAGAGAACTGTGGGTACTATGTGAGGAGCCATGGTGGGTCTAAGGAAAGACAAGACAGAAGGGAGAAACTAACACTAAGGGAATAGGATATCAGGTCTGATCCTCTCAACACGCACATCTGGGCTCCTGGCCGTGGGAAAGGAAATGTATGAGCACACGTGACAACCAGTTGCTTCTGCATAGGGAGAACAGGGCAGAACAGAGCACACAGTAGACTCAACCCCAAGCAGGTGAGAAGGGGCTAGAGGTAACGGGCTGCGTTTTGACATGCCTGAATCTAACATACAATGACAGTCTTGCCCT